CATTTTCACTGTTGTCCCATCAGAACAGCCTTTATGCTATGGTGATGGACCTGGTATAAAACAGATTATAGAAATTATATAAACCCCTCATTGTAGATAATGCTTTTAATGGATAGTATTCCAGGGACAAAAGTGCTCTAAATTTATCACCGCTTCTAAAATACATTGCCTCTCATCCACCTTTGGACCTTTTCTAACCTGCTTTGTCTTAATATTCAATTAAGATCAAAACTGACAATCTCACTCAGATTCTGCTGGTAAATCCGCTACTGAGTTATTTTTTAGAAAATATACAGTATATTACTAGCACATTAGAAAGTAACTACAACTAATCAGCAATTGGATCCCAAAATGTACTCTGTTTATCATCATCATCATCAGTTTTAGTCATGTTTGTTCAGCCACTCTTTGAGCTGGTCAGTGGACAAGAGATCATATCTGTGAACATTTTCACAAAAATGTCATCCACACTGAAATTTTGATTGGAAAAAAAGAAGATTTTCATCTATATTAGGAAACATTCAGAAATTTTCACCAGCTCTACCTAGCCTCTAGTTCCCCAAATTCATTCACAACCAATCTTCCAGTTATTAGTCAAAATTAGCAGTAAGGTTCGTCTGTTAACTAGACACTGGTTGCATAAAAGTAGCCCATTAGTAGCTTCTGAGGACAAACCTGGCTGGACTGAAATACTTTGGGACAGGATCTGCCTCTTTGCGCCACAATCGTACAGCACCTCGCACAATGGGGTCCTGGTCCGTGACTGCAGCTTTTACCTGCTATTGCAATACAAATAATAAGTTATTATTTTTCCCTTCCCCTTTTTCTAACCTTGTATTAGGAGGCAATCTGCATTTCCAGAAACAGCCTGACCTATCACAGGTGTCAGCAAAGCAGTGAGAAGCAGTATTTGAACAGTAAATTGACACCTTTTGGATTTACAGTTTCCATGCACTGTGAGTCTAAGGAAGTCACTTACATTGTTTTCTGACAAACCATTTGCTGGGGTGACTCATCTTCATTGCACTTTTATCTCCAAGCCACAAGGCTAAAAATGACTATTCCATACTGCAACTTCCTTGAAAAGGCTCCAATACTGCCCCTTAGACAGCTCTTTATTTTCACTATTTAAACTATACACATGACAAATAATACAGAGTAATTGTTTTAAATTCCAATGCTTTGCCATGATAGTACAGTGGATAAATTATATTTTCCTCTAATAAAATTGGCTGTTTTCTGAACTCAGATCAGAATGGATGTTTTTGATCATATTACGCTAAATGCTATTTTAAAATGTCTGATTTATTAAAATTTATTGTAAACTGACTTCAGAGGAGGGTTATTGTTTTATAATTTGAAATACATCTGAGGGTCACCTTGTCCTAAAACCAGTGACCAAGATTTAGCAATGGTATCTCACAGTGGTGGTGTAATTTACTCGGTGGGTGAAAGCAGAGGGGAAGGGGTGTTACAACTGGTTATCACCCAAAAAAACACCACACACCCCAAACCAATCCAACAGAATAGGGATGTTATTTAAACTGGAACAAATGCAACTGGATTCCACGTATCTACAACAATATATGAAGAATATATATAATAAGATTTGAACACATACATACACAATGACTATAAGTTACCACTAAGTGTATTTCACTAAATATTATCCTCTAAATAAAAAAAAATCTGTATCTCTGTATGTATTATCTTACAGGTTATGATTATTAATTTTTAGTTCAAGGTTTCCCCTTTTCCCAGCTCTCTGACTGGGATCTGTCTAGCATGCAAGTCAGTCTTTGAGCCTCAAGCACCCCTCATAACTTCCTGTAGAGATGGGCTTGTTTGCGGGTGTGCACATTAGACCAGACCCATGGGATCTTTAGTTCTCCTGTTCTGGGTTCTCAGGAGAACAACATGTATCAATGACAGGAGAGGATTGAATCCAATGCTCATGAACATAGAGGTACCTGCCTGCCTCTGTCCCTCAACTGTTGTCCTCTTCTCCTCCAGCTGTCACTTCCCCTTCATCTGAGAGGAGGGGCCACCTCCTCTCCATCACACAAGGACAGTGCAGTCACCTCGAACAGACCCTAAATCATATATCCCCATACAGGGGTGAGTTTCTTTACCATATTTACATTTAGAAGAGGACCAGATCCTCAGATGGTGTAAATTGACACGGTGCCATTGACTTCAGTGAAGCAATACCAATTTACAGCACCTAAAGATCTGGGCCAATAATTTTTAAATATGTATTCTGAATTCAAATTTTATAGACATATTAATTTCCATAGAACTCCTCACATCAACAAAGGATTTGACCCCATATTATTAAATAAAAGGTACTAATATGAGAACTTGGAAAGTAACTTCCAGCAATAATTATGGTGTCTGGCCCCTATACTTTCTCTTCCATTGTCATAAAAATTGCAAGAAATCTGGAGACCTAACATCTGATTATTCTACCAAAGCGGTCAGAAAATGACCACCATTTTTAATTGCTAACATTTACTGGATAGTTTAAACAGCAGTGAAATGGAAGGTTCTTAAATTTTATACTGCTTTAAACAATAACTGTTTGTAATGTGTTTGAGAGGTTGGGAAAGATTATTAAAGTTCACTTCCATACTGCAGCTGCAGGAGTCCGAATAGGAGAGTGAAGAAACTCACATTGAAAAGGTCAGGAATGACATTCATCTACTCCAGCTGTCAAATCAAGGGAATGTTAACAAAACTAGTCCCTAGTATAGTAGCTAATTTTCTGCATGTATTTTGGTCTGATCCTATGTGTGTGTCCTAGATTAATGACTAAACCAGAGGAAGGACCACAGCTCTACAGTACACCATTTTCTGAGCCTGCCCTTTGTGAGCTGATGAATTCAAGTCCCGTAAACTAGCTAGCTTAATTGACAATGTAGCTAAAATATTCCACAGGAAGCTAAACATATGAATGGGTATTCAACAATCCTGAAAATTAGGGGCTTAAAAATTGCCCTCTATTTAAAATTCATGAGAGAGAGAGAGCGAGAGCACGCGCGAGCATGAGCGCACGCGCATTTTTAAGTGATGGCATCAAAGCATCACATTTTGTAACACAATAGAAAAATCTTTACCTTAGACAAATCCTTTGGAGATGGCCTGGTTCCAATACCACAGAGTCAAGGATCCACACTTCAACTTCAACAGCCAATCCAACATTCAAGCAAGATAGTACAGATGTAACAACTCTAAATACAGCTCATCTGTCAATGAGGACTGAATCTGGGACTTTCATCACCAAAAGCACAGGCCTCCAGCACTTGAGCTGAAAGAATAGCCTCCTATCTTCTAGGTACCCTAGCCAGTGTGCTAGAGAGAGGACCATCTTCTGGAGAAATACAGCAGACGCAGGAACCACTTTTGACCCACAGCACATCTATTTTCGTGGGAAGACTAATGCTCAGTCTTTTTAGACAATCTGATTGTAACTGTTGTTGGCCCTTTTATAATTCCACTGGTGTAGGTTTTAAAGGTGTTCTGTATTTTAAAGGTGTTCTAGAAGGGCTGAACATATAATGCAAATTATCATAGGTATCAAGGAATCAATGCTCAAAAGAGACATTTTGTTCATTTATTGCCCCATATCATACATCATATTCTGATTTGTTTTTTGTTATGTGAAAAGATGCATCAGTAACAAACTGAGATTATCTATGACAACATATTAAACCAGGATGTAGCTTTCTGGAGAATGTAGGCATCGTATAATATAGGTTTCAGAGTAGCAGCCGTGTTAGCCTGTATTTGCAAAAAGAAAAGGAGTACTTGTGGCACCTTAGAGACTAACCAATTTATTTGAGCATAAGCTTTCGTGAGCTACAGCTCACTGCATTGGATGCAAGTACTCCTTTTCTTTTTGCGTATAATATAGATTACTTTATTCTTTGACTTTTTAGTAGAGAAATATTACAAAGCCAGAAACAATACTGAAAATTCATGAATTAAACACATGTACAATTGCAAGTCTTTAAAAAGCTGGAAGTGACCTTAAGAACAGACATACCAAAGATTAGGAAAACTTCTAAAGAGGTGGTTTATCACAAATCAATGACTCAGACAAATTATACTCCTCCCAGAAACAAATACAAAGAAGGCTTTTCAGAATTACTCCACTCTAGAAGTAAATCACAAAGCAAAACTACCAGAAAAAAAAAAAGCATAAATGGACACATATGTACACATGTGCCCACTCACCCACAGCCAAGAACGAAGGAAATTAGAGAAAGGAAAATATATATGCCCACCAATACCTGGGTCCAACTGAGGAATGTAAGAGCCATATTTTTACCCACCTGCTATGCCCAGATATTGGAAGATACACAGTTAATGAAGAAATGTATGTCCTTGCTTTTGTCAGTACGTTTTTAACATTGCATGATTTTTCTTTCCGCAAACTCACAAATATCTTGTGCTGTGAATGGGTTGGTTGTTTCGGAGTTGATTAATTTCAACAGAATTCTATGAGAAATGAGCTCTATATTAATAACAAGCGGATCCAATTACAATGTAAATCTATAGAAAACAGATATATTAGCAACCAAGAAGTCTTCTTGTCATATACTTTTCTGGGAAAACCAATATCAGCCTCAAACTCTTAAAGTCCATCTGGATCTGAGCCAATTGATAGAATCAGAAATAATGCCAAAACTACCTATACAATTGCCTGTGGAGATATCACTGTACAGAATCCAAAGAAAGTCAATAGATCTCAGCTCCTTTGTAGCCATGTGAAAGGAGACTCCACTCAGAGATAACAAGGGCTAAGCAAGGTCAAGGAGAGCAGCAATGTCTAAACACTGGTGTGGGGATGGGGTCAAGAAGAATTACAGAGAGGGGAGCCAAAAACTCATTCAAGTTTTAGTCTCATACCTTTGTTGGAGAAAAGGTTTGTTCAAAAGAGCTTCCAACAATTTAACATCATGCTTTCTTGAAAAGACATTTTCCTCTAGCCTCACCAGGAAGCCTGAGAGTACAATATAGGTCTTCCAGATGTCATTCAAATCTCCTACCACACTCCATCATCCAAAAGGAGAGCCACAAAGATCCCTCTGGAATAGTGCTTCATTCTGCAAACCAAGCCAAAGGTTGAGACACAAATTGTTCCTTGTGCTGTAAGCATCACTTCTGCAGCACACCCAGCTGCTGCCGCCGGCCCATGGAGTAAGAAAAAGCTAACTTTGTGTCCGAGCTCTGATCCTCTGCATAGTAACAACCTACTACTGGGAAAATGTATTATTAAAAGGAAGGTTTTACATTGATTTTATAAATATTTATGCAGTGCTTGAATATGCAGAGACTTCTATTTACCTGTAACCCACAATTTTAAGATTTTAATTTTTTTAATTGTTTGAGATCTGTAGAGATTAATAGCCGCTTGTAGAATTTGGGAACGACCATGCTTGATTTTCAAATATTCTATTAGTCAAGGGGTTCTTAAATCTTCTGTAGCATAGGCCACATTCTAAGAGAGGTTGGCTTGTGAACACTTACCCGCACATCTATGATTGCGTAAGCTACGGTATCTGTCCTTCCTATCTGTTGGTATGTCTACACTGCAATCAGAGCTGTGACTGCAGCTCACAGGCATAGCCAGGCTAGCTTTGATGTAGCTAGCATAGCTGAAAATAGCAGTGAAGATGTGGTGGCAGAGACCCCATCATGAGCTAGGAAGGCAAAGACATATCCAGGAGGCTCGGTGGGCTTGAATAGCCCTCCCTGCTATGTCTTCACTGCTATTTTTACCTGCATGCTAAAGATGATACTTTAAATACATGCTGTTTTTAGCTGCAGTCACACCTCCAACTGCAGTGCAGACATACTCTGACTGTGAAGACCGCTTCTTCTCCTATTTGCAGTCTACTGACATCCCTTGGCCAACGGCAGCAACTGCTTACATGGAAAAGTGATATTAGGAATTGCTATAGCTAACATATTAGCCACCATTGCCATAATATCTGACCCTGTCACCTGTGAGTTCAAATTATAGCTTGGATCACAGGTGATACTTGCAAAAACACTTCACATTTGAATTAGGATTTAGGGTATAATAGTTACATCTGTAAAGCACTGTAAATGTGCTTCATCCATGCTAAATGCTATGTATTATTATTTTGGTGCTTTGGCAGTCTATATAAGAAGAGCCTATTGATGAGAACAGGAATCTTGCCAGGCAATACTGAAGTGACACTGGCAGAGATGTCAGGAAGTTTGAACAATGCAAACCTATATTATACTTGGTTCAAGACAGTGCTATTGTTGTCCTCCACTTAATAAGTCCTTATAAGCACTAAACTCACTTACAATTTTCTGTTAAAGTTCATTGCCCTTGTAAGGGACAAGGAAAGGCAAATCTGTGGTTAACAAAGTAATAGGAGAGCAAAGAAAAGAAGAAAAATGAGGTAATGTAAATAATAAGAGAAAAAGAATCAATAGTAACTGTTAGTTGCAAAATGATAAGAGCGATTGGTCATTTGCTCAGCATTGTGTGAGCGGAATCACTAGTGGGCAATTTGTCTTCTCATGACTGTGGTGGGCCAATCAAAAAAGCAGGCAGAGCATTGTATTCTTAAGAGGTACAACTGATCCTGAATATACAATTCCTAGTTGATTGGGCAGGTCTCACTAATCAGTTATTTTGTAAGTGGGAGGACACCAAATGCATCAGTTAGAACCTTATTTTTCCATTCAATTTTTTAGAACAAGGCGGCTCATTGATCAGTTTCTACGTTACAATTCATTTCCACTGTTGTGCCACAGGAAATCTCAAGTACAATTATACTGCCAATTTGCCTCCCTCTTTTTATATATATTTTTAAAAGGGTTAAATTTTAACAGCAATGTTTCCTGACTGCATGCATTCAGTTCCCTACCATACAATTGATTATTTTACTTTAGAAAAACTGAATTTCTTTGTGCTCTAGGTCACTTATGTTGTGTAAATGCTTATGCTACATAAAAGGAGCCCTACTGTAGCACTGGTTAGTCTCTACGTTGCCACAAGTACTCCTTTTCTTTTTGCGGATACAGACTAACACAGCTGCTACTCTGAAACTGGTAGATAGGAAGTTCATTCTTTGTAGCACACTCCCATTTGTCACACCTGAATGAATGGAAATGAGTGGGATTATCAGGAGTCAGAGTTCCTGAGTGAGAACCTGAAGCCAAATCTCTAGAGGTTTTGAGCATCTTCACCTCCCACAGTTACTGAGGACATTCTCAGGATTTGGCTTTCAGTCAGGAAGGATTTAAAGCAGGGAACTCTATTTCAAAACACAACAAAAAAAATCTCTCCAATTGATAGAAAGGAGAGCTAGGTTGGCAGCAGACCAGTTAATTCAAAAGCACTAAATAAGACAGACTTCCATAATGTGCTGGAAAGACTGATACCATTTTAGCCCAAGAAAGTCTTTGTGCAAAGCCCTTGGTTTTACCTGGAAGCCTATTTAACTGACGATTACGGACAATGTGATTTTGTTGAGAAAGCTCTCCCTGTGTCAAGCTCTGCTGCAGGAAGGTGCTGAGCAACTTTGCTATTGTGCAGTGCATCTTGTTAATTGGGATAATTGTTATCCCATCTTGTTATCCATGGGATAATTGGGACCCATGGATATCCTTCGGTGTCACCCACATAACCAGAGGTGTTATATTAATTTAGATGGAATAAAGGGGCCCAAAGAGTCAGAGATGTTAACATGATCCTGTCACTGTCCTACATTAAACAGCCTTAAACAAGATTTAGGATACAGAGATCTCAGCCTGCTTATTACTCTGGCAAACACTATTAACCATTTTTCCTTCTTCTGTATCTTCAATAAAAAGGTTAAAACTTTACATTTCAAATGCTTTAAGTAAGGCTTTCATTTTAATGTCTTGTTCCTTTTCCCTTTAGTTGAAGACAGACTAGAAGGGGGAAAAACCCCACCTTATCTGACAGTTTTTTAGATGGTGTTAAAGAGGGTTGTAATTGTTCTTTTGAGGAGAAGAAAGGAGGTTAGTTGAGATGGATCGGGGTGTTATCGGGGTGTTGTGGTTGTTACAGTCTCATCCTGTTGCATAGAAAAACAAAACAAGACAAACACACCCACAAGGAGAAAGAAAAGCAAAGAGTTTCTTTAGTGTTGACTCTCATTTGCAACTCTGTTGGAAAAAACACAAGCACAACATACGGTCTTATCAGTAACTCCAAGGCCTTCCAAATTTGTACCAGTACTGGGCTGTTTAGGGCATTGCATTTAGCTGTCTTTCAGAGGCAGCAGGTTTGTATAATTTTTGGTGGTGCCCAGAATGGGTCTGAGTCCTGACCCCCCGAACGCGTGCGCCCCCCCCCCCACACCTAAGGCTCTGGGAGGGGGTTTGAGTGCAGTCTCTGGGCTGGGGTAGGGGTTGGGGTGCAGGAAGGGAGTTTGTGTGCAGGATGCAGGCTCTGGGCTGGGGCAGCGGGGCACAAGAGGGTGAGGGATGGGGCGCTTACCATGGGTGGCTCCCGAAAGCCACCAACACACCCCTCTGGCAGCAGTTCCTTGGTGTGGGGGGGGGCAAGGGGTCTCCACGCGCCGCTGCCCACAGGCACTGCCCCCGCAGCTCCCATTGGCCGCAGTTCCTGGCCAATGGGAGCTGTGGAGCTAGTGCTTGGGGCGGGGGCAGCGTACACACACACACAGAGCTGCAGGGACATGCTGGCCGCTTCCGGGAGTGATGCAGAGCATGGGCGGGCAGGAAGCTGCCTTGGCCCCACTGTGCTGCCAGTGGTGGCGGCGGCAGCCGGGCCCCCTGGGCTCTTTTAAATAATCCGGGGGCGGCGGACAGGGCCGGGGGAGAGACCCAGCCCTGAACATTGGTGGAGCTGGGCCCCCAGGCCCTGAATATTCTAGAGTCCAGGCACCACGGGCCTATATAACTCGCCGCCCCTGCTGCCTTTCTGGTCACAGGTTTATAGCACTGTTACAAAACATGCAGTCTGAGCCAGACTTATATTAGACAGAAGGAAAAAGGAAAGAGTTAGGAAAGAAAAGAAATAGGTAGGGAAGGAAAAGACACACTCGGGAGTCAGAGGGGAGACAAAGTCTAACATCCCAGGTGGTATTCAGGATTTAGCTGAAGCTGGAGGTGTCATCTGGGTCCCTCTCTCTGCCCCAGTCTGGTCGTGACATCTCTCGGGATTAGGACGAATAAAGGTCGGGGTCCTAGGAGATGGTGGGTGTGGCAGCCATGATAATGAAGCTTGCTCCTTCCCCTTCTCTTCTCTTCCAGTTAGCCAGGGTTCCCCTTCACTTTGCCTCTGTCCATCCATATTTTCCATAGGAAGCCCCAGAAGAGAGTGATGGTTGGAATAGTCCATCCACTCATTTTGTTCAACAATTAGGCCTAATTTCTGACACACAAATTTTGGTTCATTAATTTCCAGTCCAAAAACACCTCTCTCATTGACCAGGCATGAGCCTGTGTTACATCAGTGGGCTTTTTTGTTTGGATTAATTCAGTCTGTTACCAGTTAGCATCTTTTCCTATCAAGAGTTACTGTTTTAGGTTATTGTGACGTTTTTATAAACTTTCACTCACTTTTCACAGTTTGAGCTCACAATTAAGGTAAATGTGTAGGCCCAATTGCTACAACTAAGTTGGTGGCCCTTCACAGTTTGGCAGTAGATTATGTCAAAATACAGTTTTCCCATCAATTAGTGAACAAATGGAAATTGATGGAACCTTTCAATCCCTATCCAGATATGTTATTTTAGAAACTTAAAAGGCAAAGCTGGGCTGTCTAACTTTGCTTCAGCAAAAGCCAACAAAAAAATTCACAATTACTAGGCTGATGGTGTGCGGATATCACAGCCTATCATACCGGCCAATATTGTCTCATTGTTTCCTTGTATTCCCCCATTGGTCTATATCCGTCTGTTGTCTTATATTTAGATTGTAAGCTCCTTGAAGCAAGGACCATATTTTTGTTCTGTGTTTGTACAGTGCCTAGCACAATGGGGACCTGGTCCACCACTGGGGTTCCTAGGTGCTATGATAATACAAATAATAAATAAATGCTTTACGTTGAGCACATGAACAATCCCATTAAAATTAATGGGAATTAAGCATGTGTTTGAAGTAAAGCATTTTAAACTAAGGTCTGGGGAAAAGCCAACACTTCTTTGAGTATTTCCCTGTATCATTTAAGTTCCTAAATGAAAGCTGAGCTCTTCTGAAAACTTGACCCTAATTGTCAGACCTGAGCGTTTCTGGAAACGTGGCCTCAAGTGATTGTGCTTAGAAAGCATTGCTCGCTGGTACCTCTGTAGAAATGCAGTAGTATACGTACATGAAGCAGTGATAAGAAGGTATTTAACACTAGTCCTGAACCTGTGGATTAAAATAAATTCCAGAAGCCCTTAAAATATACACCATTAACTCGCGTCACTTTTGTTTTCGTTTTGCCTAATGAGCCTGACTGAGTAGAGGGTCATCTCAAAGTAGTATTTGTTATGACGATACACATTTTTCCTAACACAATAGTGTGTATCTGATAAAACAGCTGTATCTCTAGATGTGTGCTTCACTAATTGATGGTCATATTAGCATGAATGCGTGCAACCTTGACTGTTAGCAACTCATTCAATTTAATTTTGGTTTTCTTGTATAGCACAGGCATACTTTTGCTGCAAATTATACCCTTAATTGTAATGTAGCAATCATAGAAAATCTATCAGAGAAAGGTTCTAGCCCTAGCTCTGTCCTTCCTATTTTTTTTAAGTTAGGAAACATGAAGAAACAGAAATAACTTTAGCACATACTTGCAAAGAAATGGGCTACACAAATAAGACACCAAAGCAGCTTTCTATGAGTTAAGGCTGTGTTGGTCTTCAGCAATTAAATAATCAATGGGCTGTAATACTCAGCTTCAGGGAGGACCGGGAGCTCAGGAATTAAATTCAGTATTCATGAGTATCGACTGTCAAACGGATTCAGAAGTGGGAGTGCATGTACAGGAGGCGGCCTTCAGGGGGCTCTTTAGAGTTCTGTGTGGCTGCTGGTACAAATACATCGTCCACCTCAAACGTGGTTTTAAAAGGTGGAGTTTGGCATCATATTTCCTGCCAGCTACACTGCTGAGCATAGGTACTGCTGAAGCCCAGGAAATAAGAACCTTTAAAGACTAGATTCCCCAATGGGGTTTTGGGTACCTTCCTATGACACATATGGAAATGGAAAATATCAGAAACCGGATACTGGATGAGATGGTTCATTGCTTTTAATCAGACTGGCAGTTTTTATGAACCTACAATGCAATCTCTGGGGGTAGCAGATCAAGATGATGGGTTGGCTCCCTTTGGAAAAGTATCCCTGTTCAGAACAGCACTTGCACCTGCATGTAGGCTCAAATTCAGGAAAGCATTCATGTCAGCATTCAAAAGTGTTGTGATAAAAGATAGGGCTCTTTATAAGAGGCTCTGAAGTCTTTAAGCAACTAACAAAGGTGGAAGCATTTGTAGAATATCAGGCTGGTTGAAACTGACGTATTAGCAAATGAGGCCTGAATGGTCAGGCATGATTGTTAAAATGAGGCTGTGTGTTAAAGCCCAGATGCAACACAGTATAATGTGGAGGCTCCGTTGTGACTTGACCTAATCCACTCCTCCATGTAGGACTCTATCCTAGAGTTGTTCCCACACCAGTTGGGACCTAACGGGGGGTAAAACAATTAGGTATGGAGCGAAGTGTCTGAAGCTGTGATGGTGGAGAGAGATCCCGGGGAAAGTGTGGCAAATACTAGGCCTTCTGAGTCCCAGCCTCGGTTTGAGATACTACAGGTGCTTGGAGAATTTCATGACACAACCTGCTATTCCTGTGTGGACAGTGAATAATTGTCAGGTCAACTAGACCTGTGGATGGGCTTTTTTTTCCTTCCCTATTTAAATCAGAAGAGAAGCCTTGATATTTCTGGACTGGGTAAGCCTGATGTTAGGCAATGTTGGAGAAACATCACCCTGGAGCACATGAAATACCAGACCAAAAAAAAAAAATCCATAAACAAAATTCTGACTTATTGGAAACACTGGGCCAGATTTTGGTTTGTTACACATCCATGCAAATTCAGGTTTATCAAATATCAGAATGTGGCCTACTGATACTATGGTATAAAATCATATTTATTAAATCTCAGTAGGAGGGATGTGCTATGAAAATACAAAATTTTTCATGAAACATTTTCCAGGGTACTGTCTGCTACCTAGCTTGTCATGTTTACTTGTCAGGGAATTTCCATTACTCACTGTCATAGATTAAGAACACCAGTGTCTATTTCCATTGCCCGTCCTGACATTGCTTTATTGTACAGACTAATACAGTCCTTTATTTTAACTTTAGAATGTATTGTACCCACAGAGAAAAGTATATTTCTACCATCTGAGAAACAGAAGGGACAGTTTAATCTAATAAATTAATCTAGACTTCTATAAAGAAGATTAAATTTTCACATAAAGGCAAACTCTGACAGCTAAGGCATAAATCTTTTATTTAAAATAGAAAATAAACCCATTCAAATACTATCAGAGAAGACGTAGATAAAAACAAGTAGTGATCAAATATATGGTGCATAAATTTGTTATCTCTGTAAGATAAATCAAAAACAGTGACCTTAAAAATGTTCCTTAGACATCAGCAAAATTGGGCAATTTGCATATATTTAAATATTGCTTTGTTAGTCTAAGATGGACAGGAGAAAACCTTAACACTAAAAGTAAACACAGACAGATGGAGAAAGTAAAAATGAAAGGTCACTTTAGCTATCAAGATGTCCAAAAAATAAATATTTATCAAGTCTGTAGATGGCAGCAAATCCTACAAAAGATAAATTTTCCCTTTCACAGTTTTCAGTATTTCCCGTCTGAGTGAAATATGTTGCTGATAAAGTCCCCAATTCAGGAAAGTGCTTAAGCATCCACACTAGGTCAGACCAATGATCAGTCTAGACCAATGATCCTGTCTTCTGACAGGGGCCAGTCCCATATATTTTAGAGGGAATGAACAGAATAGAGCAATTTTGAGTGACCCATCCCATCATCCAGTCCCAGCTTCTTGCACTTTGAGGTTTAGTGATACTGTGGACATGGGGATGTGTCTTTGACCGTCTTGGCTCACAGCCATTAATGAACCTATACTCCATGAATTTATCATATTCTTTTTTGAAGCCTGTTATACTTTTGGCCTTCACAACATCCACTTGCAAGGAGTTCTATAGGTTGACTGTGCCTTGTGTGAAAAAGTACTCCCTTTTGTTTGTTTTAAATCGGATGCCTAGTTCTTGTATTATGTGAAGGGGTAAATAACAC